CGCCGCCTCCCCGTTGCACAATCGGAACCGGGTGGAGTAACTTCGCGGCTAACTCGGAAAAAATGCCGAGGCGATGAAAGTTTTTTTGGGTTTGTTGGGGGGTTTTTTTGGTTTGTTGTTTCTGGGGTAGGTTTTTTTTTGCTTTTTTTGTTTTGTTTTGTTTTTTTTTTTAAATCCTCTCTCAGGGAAGAAGGCTCCCGACCTGAGGTTGCGCTTGGGCAGCTGGAGGGTTTCTCGGCGGCGGCGCTTGGGGTTTGGGAATTGCTGGGATGTAATTGCAAATGCGATGGGAGCGCAGTGGCGTTACCGGGAAGTCGCTGTTGATCAGTGCTCCTACGCGAGCTACGTGGAGCATTTACGTATTTCAAGAGCTGAGAGGAGTTTCTTGGTCATCTCGTAGCCTGCCAAGATGGCAGAAAGTCAGCGTGTCCTGAAATCGGTGAACTAAACTTCGGTGCACAAAACACTTTTTATTAGACAGTGTATAAAGTTTACCACCTATTTGCCTTACTGTAATTTCACATCTCTATGGCGGTGCTTGTGGGCACATCTTAGTCAAAATGAGGTTGTTTGTTAGTGAAAGGATAGTTCTGTTATCCCTGAAAATTTAAAATCTGTTCTGGATTAGTGCTAGCTAAATGAATTGTCCTTGAATTATGACTACGGTCTCGCAAGAATTTCAGAACAATCCCTTTTGAATCTGTCTTAAGAACATGTTCCCCGGTGTTAGTGGGTGATATCACTTGAGTTGAAACACAGCTAGGATACTCCCTGGTATGCTTTGTCATCAACTCATGCTTATGAAACACATTCAGGCACTGCAGGTAAGAATTTATTGTCAAATGTAAACCAAGGCAAACCCCCACTTATGTAGTAATCTGGTGGTCAAAACCTTTAAAACGATTCAGCATGAATCTTGAATCAATAAGTCATCTCTTTGACTTCAGCGTTTTGGCCTGCTGTGTGCGGTCTCTCATCTTGTATTGGCCCTTACGCTCTATGGCACAGTGTAGTAAGTAGCAAGCTTCTTCCTTTACCAGTGCTAGAGTTTAGGATTGTTTGGGTTAGGGTTCTTTTTTTGGTAGTTTGTTTTTGGTTTTTGATTGGGGTCAGTTTGGTGGTGGTTTTTTTTTTTTTTTTTTGAAGGTGCTATTTTTAATCCATTTAATCACACCATGCTACAAGATACACTTCCAAATTCACAGAGGGTTTACAGTTTTGGTTTCATATTTGCCAGCTTGGAAAGTGATGTTTTACTAGCCTGAAACCACTGCTTGCAAGTTGCTCTCTTCCCAAGCTGGTTTCCAGTGTGAATGTTTACTGGGATTGAGGCTGAAATCCAAAAATAGCAGGGCCAATTTTGTAACAAGGTGGTTGTGAATTTAGATTTTAATCTTGACAACTGGTAAGGCCAAAGAATGGTACTCTGTCACCGGTGAGCTGGGATCCTCAGTCTTCTGATTGTAAGGTCACAGATCAGACCTTGAAACTCTCTGCTTCCTTGTAGTGCATTTTTGGCACTAGATCAGAACAGGCTAAAGAGAGACCAGGACCTCAGAACATTGTAATCACACATAACTGATTTAGTCTGACTTGTAGTATTACCTGTCAGGGCTCAAATTCATTGTCTCCTGCAGCGGATGACATCCCAGATGTACCAGTGAAGGTATTTTGAGTCTGTTTGGCCGACCCCCTCTTTGTGGACCTGACGTATCAAGCAAAATAAAACTCTTTCTTGTATTGGGTAAATCAGACTTTCAGATGGTGTTAGTGTGTGTTAATTTAATCTGAAGGATGTTACATATTCGGAATATAACAACCCCTACTTAAACCATAACTGGCAAATTCTACTTTTGGCTTGGGAATGAAAGCACATTCAGTACTCCTGTGTTATGTCTTAGGTTATCTACTTCTGGAACACCCTTTATAAAGCTCTCTTCGAACTGAAGTAGTTGTCGAGTACATACCCAGTCCCAGAAAAGTTATGTTATGCTGGAGCTCATCATCATATCTGTGCCATCTGCCCTGAGGGTAGCCTGCATTCGATTGGGAAAACTGCTTGTATTGATGTTGCTTGCTTTGCACAAGAGTGGCAGTTGTCTTATTATCACAAGTGAGTGCTTTTTGCCATGAAATAGTGTGAACCAACATCTTAATTTTAACTGTTTCCTTTCCTGAGAATGAAATTTCCCCCAATTATCATAAAGGCAATGGAACAAACTCATGTTGATTTATGAGCTTGTCTCTAAATGCTTGATACATGCTTGTGGCACATTGTCTTGGTCTGAAGTGTTGAGTGGAACCTGCTAAATGCACATCCTGTAATTGCTGCAGTATGTTGGCGCTTCCGGTTCGAATGATGATGATCTGGTAGTAGGGAAACACTTATGTGGGAATAAGGAATTGGGAATGCGTAAAATTGAGAAAACTTGGGAACATTACATCATCAATATACATAATTTTATCACTGCTATACGCATCCATTAAAGCGAGGAAGTATAAAAGGCCTGAGTGGTGATCTTGGTAGGCTAAAAATAGAAGTAATACAGGAGATGCATGCATGAAATGTCTCGTCTGTGAAATCCTTAAGCAAACTTGTGCCTGCTGTTTTTTATGTCCATTTGGTTACACGTAGCACAAGCCAGCATCATTGTGTCGGGGTATTTTATTAGAAAATCTTAAGTGGAATTGGCATCCAGGAAGCTAAAGGCTGAAGGTGGCAAAACCATTTATCGCTACTTAAGTACAGATAGAAGGCTTCCATTGACGGTGGTGGAGTGGAGACTAAATAACTATTTTCCTCCAGGCTATAGCCTCCAGCGCCATTCCTAGATGTATAATTAATTGCAACTTTAACCCCACTCCTCCAGATGCTCATAATAAGAAATACTACTAACCCTGGAGACATTCATAATTTTTTCAGAGATTGGATGTAATATGCAGCAATGAGGGCAGCATGGAAATCTGCATTAGTTTAACCAAAGGTGTAGCTTTGTAGAGGCGCTTCAGTTAAAGAGTTGTAAACCCTGCTTATTACTTTTGTTTTAAACTGCTACTCTTTTCTTTTGAACTTAGTATGGAATTTTAAAAAATTAGCTTAACTAGAAAAAGCTGTTGGGAATTAAGTTTTCTTCTCTAGCTGAAACCTACAATATTTTTGCAGGCAGTCTTGGATTTAGTTTGGGCTTATTCAAAATAGTTAAATAACTTGAAGTTACGTGATTGATTGTATGCTTTGAATGAATGTCTGGAAATAAGTCTGGATTTGTCTGTTTAGGGGCTCAGAAAGTTAAGATTAACTAGCTAATGAAATGCAGTTGATGTAAGCTTAGTTAAATGCTTTAAACCTTTGTGAATGCTCTCTGTATGTATTGAATTACCTTTTTTAACTTTACTTAATTCACCTTAACTATTTTGAGTATCCAGGGATAAGTTAAGTCCTGCCTCGAGTAGCTAGTGCTGTGCAACTATGGCGCTCAGTGGTTAGGAGGGTCATGTTGAGCCAGAAGGCAGTAGCTGATTTTTTAAATTGTGCGATTTCAGTAATGGAGTTTGGGAAGCACCAGTATCAAAGAACTTCAGTGTTTTTTAAAAGGAAGAATAAAATTACTCAGCGTCAGCTGAAAGCTGTCAGCCCTTAAATTCTGTTTAAGATTTAGTTTATCTGAATAGTCAGAAGTGACATTTATACTACAAAATTAATCATTTATACTACAAAATGAATATCATTAAAATGGAAATAACACTTCTTAACTGGGTAGGTTTGATACACATATTCAAGTCCAGCATGTACTATTAAGGTCTTGGATGTGTTTTAAGAACTGGTTAATTTTTTTATGAGATAGGAAAATTGATGCTTCCTTAACTAGAAAGTTTGGACTGCAGTAACTTAAAGATTTCTCCAGTTAATTGGGCACTGTGCTTGTGAAACAAGTTCCCAGTCAGCATAGATCTTTAAATGTGTGCATTGGAATGGGGGGAGAAGGGGATCGTAATCTCACTTAAGTAATTTAGAGGATTTCAGAGATCAATATTCCATTAGATGGGTACTTCTTGCATACCTTAAAAACGGAGACAGAGTTCTCCAGTGTGCTAAGGATTTGGGTGGGATAATGTACAGGGTAAAAAGGTTGCCCAGCCAGTATTTTCTTTACAATCATTTCAGCTTTTAAAGATCTGTTTTTGAAAGTAAGCCAATGCTTTTGCTGTTATGCCCTGCATCGGTTTCTTCTACAGAAGAGCTGATGGAGGACTCTGCAGAATGAGCTCCCTTCAATGCCTCCCAGTCTGTAACCAGCTCTGAAGCACTAATGCCTTTCTTCACGCTCACACATTAATGGGTAAGGGAGTGGGGAAGGATGTAAACAGCTGTAAGTAGCAGCTGTTGAATACAGAGCAGTAAGCTGTCTCTTGCCAAAGGCATCTCTGTTCCTTGTGGAGGCCACCTCTAGCCTGGCATCATCCCCTACCCGCAGATGTTTTCTCTGCATCCACTGGGTTGAACTGTTGAAGGAGAGAGAGAGGATGGAGGTTCTTAACCTTGTCTGAGATGTCAAGTGACAGCTGGTAAAGAGGAGTGGAAAAGGGTAGAGCTGTTGTGTAATTCAGATTAGGGCATTGATAGCAATCTCCGATAAATCTTTCTGTTAGAAATATTAAGGTTTTGCCACTTTAACTGTCTGTCCTGTGTTCTTGTATTAGGTCCCTCCCCTGTGTATCAGAGCTGGCAGATGGGAACGTGTGGTCTGCACTTCAGCATTAGGTCTGATACGTTGGTATAAGCTGACTTCTGTTGATAGTTTAGGCTAAGATGCTGTAGCTTACACTGAAAAGGCTGAGTTACAGGCATGCATTTTCTCCTGTGACTGATGTGATGTAGTAATCTGCCAGTATAATACACAGAAAAAAATAAATTAGGGTAAGAAATGAAAGCAGCAGCGAGAATGTGTATATGAGTGCAGTCAGTAGTGCATTTTTATATGTAGTTGCTTTTTTTGTCAAGTTGGCTTTATCAGAAGAGAGTCTTAAACTGTATTGAGTTGCACATGCTGGACAGTTTTGTAAACTTCTTGAATCCAAATTTAACATCTCAAACTCTAAATGGGAAGTACAGGAGTTGTTTTTTTTAGAAAAACTTTCTCTTCAGTGGGCGTTTTATGGGGCACTGATCTGATACATTAAATGTGGTAGGTTGTGTCGGGGAAGCCTTGCAAAAAAAAAAAAGTTAAAATTACATTCACAAGTTTAAATTGGTGTTTATGCCTTTGGCAACTCTTCGTAAAACACTTGGATGTAGACAAGGTTTAATACTGAAAAATGAGCCAAATAGAACATTGCAGGATTTGGGACTGAAAGCTAAATAGGTAGAGGGGAATTTTTAAATTTTGTTTAAATGTTGTTCAGAACCTTCTTACCAGCAGTAAACTTCATTATTAAAATTTTGTGTAAAGGAAGCCTTTGTTCTGAACCTCATCCCTTTGAGATGTGTGATATGCTAGACATCTTCAAGATCTCCTGCAGTTTTCTCCAGTGTAATTGTGATGGGTTTTATCCTGGTTTCAAGAAAGCAAAATGGGAAGATTGCAGACTGCTTTGCAAATGTTAGGGCCCAGTAAAAGGAGGAGGAGACAAATGTTTAATCCTTTCCACAAGCATCTGGACGGTAGAGTTGCAAGCTGAACTGAGTGCAGATGCTAAAATGCTTTAGGTTTTCCTGATGGAGGGCATGAGGTTTGTGTTTAGTGCTCAGTTAACTTTACAGTGAGCTTTCTCTGTAACCTGGAGTTAGGCTGGCCACGTGCTCATCACCTCTGTGAGCTCTTCC